CATCATGGTTCATGTTTGCATAGCATTGTGTGTGCATGCCTTGCCTCTTGAGCAAACATGATAGAGGTTGAGGCCCCCTTATGTGTTTTGTGCATTCATTCCACATTGAATTGCACACTTGGCTCCTTTGGCCATCATGCATTGGAACGCGTGATTGATGGTCCGAGGGTCAAGAACTACACACCTTTGAGCCTTAAACATGATAAGGGGTGTAGTTGCAAACATTGTCATGTAAATGTACTGCCATACCTCTACTGCAGCAAAACAGTTTTTGCAGGAAAAGATGGCGATTGGCTAAAAGTGTTTGGCCGATGACCTCATAAATGGTCGATGACACCTTTTCTTTGGCGATGGCTTCACCATTTGGCCGATGGCCTCTTAGCATGTCCATGAAGTGGTTCTAGAGCATTACATGACTTTTCACAGTTCTCAGAGGTGCAGAGCAGTGCAAAACGAGGCAACATGAGGTATGGCAACGGATTTCCGAGCAAAGCCGATCAAGCATGCATTTGTCCTCTTCTTAAGGCCTCTTTATTGTTTTTCGTAGCTTAACTAATTTGTTAATTATTTAAGTGTTGTAATAATTAGATGTAGCTAGTTATTCATTTGATTGTGTAGTAATTAATTAGCTTGTTAGTTAGGTAATTAGATGGTTTGTTTTATTCTTTCGGACCCTCCGTCGAGAGGGCCTATTGTTGTAACAGCGTGCGTGTGTATGATGCATGTCTTCCAACCCCCATTTCTTTCTCCTTTTTACTTAACTGCTTACGACGGTTAGTTTTAGGGCATATTTCATTTAGCATCCTTATGCTAGCATGTTTGCATCATTCATCTATATTGCAGTGCACCGGGCTTGGCGCATCATTACTAACTGCATTGTATTTCAATTCCTACTTGAATACATGTATCAAGTTGTCGCATCTCATATGCCATCTTAGAATAGCCGAGCTTATTTCTAGTTGCATTTTGCATGTGTTGCATTACCATCTTAACATGGACTTGGATCATGCATTGATTACTAACTAGTTCTTTATTGAAAAATGCTTGGGAGCACTAATTAGTGCTCCCACTAATTAGGTGGCAGTGGGTCCCGCCATTAATGATGTGATGTTTTGGTCTTGGAGTTGTATTTTTTTTTATTTTTTTTTACTTTTTTAATGCATTAGTGCTATTAGTGGTGATATTTTTAGTGGGATGAATCATTGTTGTTCTTTATTTTGGCTCGGAGTACACTGTGAGTGTTTACGCTTTAGCATCTTGCATGTATGTGATGTTAACATGATAGCATGCTTGCCATGAGGCTAATTGCTTATGTGATATAACTGCTGAATGCTTGTGGGTGAAGGTTGGATTACTTGAATTGGAACGATTCATTGAAATCCGTGTTTTAGCCTACTTGCGAGTAGCAAACTTCAAACCATTTCCAAACAAATGGATATGCGATGCTTTGTTCCAAATTAGACAGTCTAGTCTATACTTGTGTGTTGTGCGCATCACATAGTAATTCTAGCTAATTAGTCAGAATAAGAACGCATGTATTTTCAAAAACAAGATATCATACTTAGTACAGGCCGATCTTTTGATCGGGCGAGCGGGGTGCTCATTGCATGACTTTCCCTTCTCATACCCAAGTTCCCGAGCCGAGGCAACTTTGGTGATGAGAACACGTGGCCTTAGGCACGAGTCAGGGTTTCCTAAATCCCCCAAAATAAAATATTTAGGTAGTGACACTGTATCTGGCAAAGCAGTCCATGTTTGGCACTTCTTTCTTAAAAATCAGTTTTCCAAAACGATTGTTAGATTGGACTCTTTGGTGATTTATCGGTCTTGCATCGCACTTTGCGAGATTAGATTCAGAACCGTGACATTGAGTCCGAACTGTAGTAGCTAGAGAACAAAACGAGATTTTCTCAGGAGTTCTCTGGGCACGTCCACACACGTGCGTGAAGAGGTGCAGGGAGGTGTCGCACGTGCGGGAGTGAAGGGCCGCACGTGCGGGAGACACTTGCCGCACGTGTAAGAGTGGGCTCCGCACGTGTGGGAAAAAGCCAGATCCGATGCTCTGCTTTTTGTTCTTCTTTGGGACTAATTGTATATCATTTTCATTACACCTCTCTCTCTCTAAAATATATCCCTCTCCTTCTCTCTATATTTCTACCCCAAAAAACAAGATTAAACCCTTGATCCTTCATCATTCATTAAAGATTTGTCCATGGTTTCTCCATCAATGTTGTAGAGCACCTCTAGAACTACTTTGTGCACGGTAGAGATTGGATTTCTACACCACTTGATCCTAGGGTTTTCAACTTCTCCTCTTCATCAAACATTGAGGTAGGGATTTCTTGAGTCATATATACAAGTTTTGCCATATTGATGTTGATTTAAAAGTGTTCTTGAAGTTTTGTGTTGTTTTAGATTTTGATTCAAAATGTAGAGATGTTTGAATGTGGGTTGTAACTCAATCTTTTTACTATTTCTTAAGGGTTTTCCCTCTATTAAACTCATGAAAAATAGTTGATGGAGTTTCTCTTGGAAAATAAGGAAGGTTTGTTTCTAATGAAAACCCTAGAAATTGGGATTTTGGAAAAATGGAAAATGCCCTAGAAATTATTGTTTTTCTTGTGTCAAGGGGATGAATGAGAGCAAGTTTCATCAAATGTTTAGCAAAATGGCAATTTACTTGATGTTTGAGAAATGATATGTCATTTTAACATTATCACTAATACTTGAACATGTAATGTTGTAAATGGAAATTGTGGTACACCATGGGTTATGAGAATTGTAACCATTGGAGATTAATATTTGGAAACATCATATGTAATCTTGAAGGACTTGATTGTTGAGGCATGTGAAATGAGAAATTGTAAATATGTGTTTTATGACATATGGGGGTTTTGTGAAGGTGATTGTGGATATTCTTTTTGAAACATTTTGAAATAAAGAAATGCTATGAGTTAGTAATTATTTGCATCCCATTTTCAATCGATTTATTGTCATTATTGTACATCTTGACATGTGCTGGAAAATGTTTACTTTGAAGAAAGATTATATTGTAATGAGAACTATGGTATTGTGTATAGGGTAAATACGTGATAAGTCCGGATAGGGGGTGTAGTTGAACTCGATAAGTTGGCCTACGTGTCCATGGTGAAAGACCAAAAAACCTCACGGATAGGTGTCGAGCCTTCCGGTTAATACCGGCAAAAATGACAATTTGGTAGTATGATAAAGTCTACTTGTAGACACCAACCTAGGGATTACCAGTGTCATATTTACCGTCCCTATTGATTAAATTGAAGTTTTAAAATGTGTTGCGATTGTAAGCTTGTTATTGAAAAATGGAAATCTTCAAGAAGAGCATGAAATGAATTTCTTTAAAAAGAGCTGGCATGGCATGGACATTTGCATTTTTATTGGAGTTGCATAACTGTATATTACTTTGTGAGAATTCTCTACTGAGCTTTATGCTCACCCCTATGGGATTTGGTGCAGGTAAAGATGTGGTTTCCCGCCGAATTGACGACATGGATATTTTGTGAAGAGTAAATAGCTCTCTTATTTTGTTGTAAATTTTTGTAAGCCAAGGGCTAAATGTGTATGGGTCGAGAGACCATTTTGTGTAACCGGGCCTTTGCCTTGGAAGATGTAAGTCCTTAAGGGCATTTATTGTTTTGAGACTAGATGTTTCACATGCTACCAACTTGGTTTCTTCCCTCTCCTCTTCTTTTCTTCAACTCCAAACCTCTAAATAAGGTGTTTTGGAAGATTTTCAAAGAGTTCACCTCTCTTTCATTCATTTCCACTTTGTTCTTGCTCAATTTATCGAAAAGCGCAACATTTAACGAAATGCGAGCCTCGGAACATCGTATGAACTTTGTTTCAAAAATATTTTGAAAGAGAGGGTTTTAAGGTCTAAAATATTTAGCCAAAATAGTTTTAGTCCAAAAATGGGGTGTAAGGCTGGGATTTGACACTTTCCTTGCCGAAAAAATCGAACCTTTGAACTGCACAACTTTCATCACCAAGTAAGCAATCAGCGGGGCCCAAGTCTTAAGGGCGGTCAAAAATGGGGTGTCTACAGTTGCCCCTCTTTGAGAGAGCTCAGAGTCATGAAATGACGCGAGTGAATGTCAAAGCCCAAAGATGATCCATTTTTGACAAGGCCAAACACTTGGACAAATAGGTTAGTAGAGGCCGGTCTTCGGACCGGGCGAAAGGGGGTGCTCATAGCTGACCTTCCCCGATCGTACCCAAGCTCCCGAGCCGAGACAAACTCCGGTGATGACGGACATGTGGCCTTCGGCACCGAGTCAGGGTTTCCTAAATTTCCCCATTTTAAAAATATTTAGGTGGCGACTCTGTATCTGGCAAAGCAGTCCATGTTTGGCACTACTTTTTTTCAAAAATCTGTTTTCTCAAACGATTTGCCAGATTTGGACTCTTTGGTTCAGATTTAGAACCGCGACAACAAAAATCGCGAGTCCGAACTGTAGTAGCGAGGGCCCCCTCGCCGCGGGGCGCGTCTACACATATATTCTAACAATCCCCCCTAAGATGGTGCAAAGATATCTCTCATGCCCAACTTGCCAAGAATATCATGAAATGGTTCACTACCAACTCCCTTAGTGAGAATATCTGCAAGTTATTCACTATACTTCACAAATGGAGTACATATTGTACCACTAATGAGCTTCTATTTAATGAAATGACGATCAATCTCAACATGCTTGGCCATGTCATGTTGAACAAGATTGTGAGCTATGTTGATGGCAACCTTACTCATATTATAGCCGCATTGAGTCTTTTTCGTCAATTACCAAATCATGAAATAACAACTTGATCCACAAGAGCTCACACACACCTTGTGTCATAGCTCTAAACTCAGCTTCCGCACTAGACTTGGCAACCATATTCTGTTTTTTACTTCTCTAAGTATCCAAATTGCCCCCAACAAAAATACAACACCCTGAAGTGGACCTCCTATAAGTTATTGATCCTACCCAATCAACATCCGTATAAGCTTCCACACCAAGATGATCATGCTTGGAAAAATAAAGACCTTTTCGAGGAGAAGATTTCAAGTATTTCAAAATTCTCATAACTGCAGCCAAGTGTATTTCATGAGGAGCATGCATAAACTGGCTAACCACACTAATGACAATAGCAATATCAAGATAAGAATGGGCTAAGTAAATAAGCTTACCCATTAGTCTCTAATAACTCCCGCTATCAACAGTTGCTTCCCCACTATTATCACAAAGTTTCAGATTAGGTTCCAGTGGTGTGTCACAGGCTTTACTTCCAAGCATCCTTGTTTCCTTCAACAAGTCAAGGACATATTTTCTCTGACAGATGAAAATTCCATCTTTGGACCAAGCTACTTCAATCTCCATAAAGTATTTTAGGTTTCCCAAGTGTTTAATTTCAAACTCACTGGCCAAATATTTCTTCAACAAAAGGATTTCCTCAACATCATCTCTTGTAAGCACCACGTCATCCACATATACAATGAGAGTTGTTGTCTTACCATGAGAAGAATGTTTAACAAACAGAGTATGATCAGCCTGATTCTATTTGAAGCCATATTTTGGTATTGCTTGAGAATGTTGCATGCATGTCCATGTAATTAGATGTTGTGGAAGGAGAAGGGTTTTTTTTTTTTTTTAATGCTTTCAATTTATTTAACAAAAAAATTTATCCACAATCTTTTGGTGCCAAAAGAAAAAAAGCTAGGACGGGGATGCATTACTAACTTATCTTTATGACGTTCTTATTTTCCCTATTACCTACAAATTAAAATGACACAATTAATTTAGTATTGTTCCATAGCATACTTTTTGAATGTGAATGTCCCCTTCTAACCAAATTCACTCATGTAAATCCTATGCCCTTAAAACTAGAAAACTGGGATGGAGATACATCACTAAATTATCTATATGATAGTCTTATTTTCCCTATTACCTACCAATTAAAATGAGATAATTAATTTAATATTGTACCCTAGCATACTTATGTTAAACAATTATTCGTGGCATTGTCATGCCAAAAGCCAATAAAAAGGGTCATTTTCATGTTATTTTCCGAATTAGTAGTTGGAGAAATTATTCATTACTTTCAAAATAATATTTAATTCTATTTATTAATTAATACTTTTTATGTTGTCTCTTAAAATTTTAATACAAAAGTGATGAATCTTTAAATTTCAGCCATAACTAATAATTTGAAATACCATATGAACTTTGTTTTAAAAGTACTGAGTATTTGAGATTTACTTTTTGCTAATGTATTTGTAGGGGTACCATACATGTGTAATGATGGGTTCCATAACCCCATCAAGCTATCCAAAAAAAAAATTAATTATTTAAATTAATAATATTTTATTTAATATAATTTAATTCTATAAAAAAATTAGGGACCCATTAAATAAGGATTCATACCCGTTAGACACCTTGCCATGTTGCGCTGAGGCCCTTGTGGCTGAGTGGCATGTAGCCGCACCTTAGGGTGTGATGAGTGGAAGGTCTGGGGTTTGAGTTGATGAATTAACGGTAGCCCCTTTACGTTGTAACCTAACTTTACTAACATACTAACATTCTATTTTTGAAAAAAAAAAAAAAGGGACACCTGGCCATGTTTAGTTTGCTTTCAAAAACTTGTTTCAATTTTTTTTTTTTTTTGAAAAACTAAAAATTAGTTTTTTGAAACAATTTTATATATATATATAACACTTAGGGTTTGTTTGGTAACGTTTATATTTACCATTTTCAATTTATATTTACATAATTTTTGAAAACTGTGAACAAAAACGGGTAAATTATTTATAAGTCCTATTTGGAATAAGATATGATCCTATGAAAAGCTCATAACCTAATAGGTCCTATGGTTTTCTTGTAGACACATCTACCTCCAATCTTGATTAATTAATAGCCTAATTAATGATAATACCATATATGAAAAATCTAATGTTACCATAGGTTGTGATCATATGGTTAGAAATTTAAAATTCAAAATAACCTAATTAATGACAATACCATATATGGAAAATTCAATGTTACCATAGATTGTAATCATATCTATATGGTTAGAAATTTAAAATTCAAAATAACCTAATTAATGGCAATATCATATGTAGGAAATCCAATGTTACCATAATTTGTAATCATATCTATATGATTGGAAATTTAAAATTCAAAATGTAAATATAGCATGTAACATTCCAAACCCAATGTGACATTCTCATATACTTCTAAAATTCAAAATAACTTGATTATTGACAATATCATATATGAGAAATCCAATATCACCATAGATTGTGATCATATCTATGTGGTTGGAAATTTGAAATTCAAAACATAAATGTAACATGTAACATCCCAAACCCAATGCGACATTCCCAAACCCAACATCACATTCTCATATGCTTCTCATCCCAAACACAACGTAAATGTAACATGTAACATCCCAAACCCACCGTGACATTCCCATATACTTCTCATCCAAAACTCAACGTGTCATTCCAATACTCCACCATTAAATTATGAATAATGTCACCTCCTAAATGTAACATATAACATCTCAACCCAACCCATGTATTGAACCACCATCACTCCCAACCCAACGTAACTTCAACATCAAGCGATAGGATTCAATCCACATTCTATTACAAACCCAAATCCCCAATAATTTTGCGCAATGTACTATGACATTGTAGACACCCCATTTTTGACCGCCTGCAAGGCTCAAGCGCTTTGCCCGGTACACTCGATGATGAAAGTGGTGTTGTGCGTTGTTTGAGGTCTCAACGAAGGGGCCATGTTTAAGCTCCGAAACAATCCCAAACCTTCCATATTGCCACTAATTATACCCAAGAAATCCATTTTTACACATGGTACCACCTTATGCTGAGTCTGAAGGAAAAAAACAGGGGAACAATCTGAAGCCCAGCCGTAGCTATTGATGGCCGGCCGTGCCTTAGTAGCGAGAAACATTGTTCTGAGCGGGAGCTCGCCAGCTGTCCATTTTTGAAGATATTTATGACCCCTCTTGCTCAAATTCCATAAAAACGACCATATATCTCTGTTTTGAGAGTTGAAGAATTTCTAAAAAGCCTCTACACCTTCTTAAGAGCTCCTTCTTCTCATTCGTTTTGTGCAAGCAACCCTTTGAGCAAGCCTATCACCTTGAACCTATATCCATACATCATATATAGCTTCACACCTTAGCCTGGGAACCTTGGTTGAGCCTTGAACATCATAATTCAAGCTTGAGAGTGTGTTGGGACTTAGTTTGATTCATAAACAAAAGCTCATTTCTTTGAAAGGTATAAGCTTGTCATCCTCTCTTTTACTTCTTGTTCTATCTATTACTATCTAGTTCTTTTAGATTTGTGTTGTTTTGATTCTCTTCCAATGTTTAAGTTTGGGTTTGGAGAGCTACCAAAAGGGTAGAGAGAGTTAACACTCTTAGAGAGTTTATACTCTTTCTTACACCTTTACCTATAGCTCAAACCCTTGCTTTTACACTCTTTTTCTTTGCTTTCTAAATTGATTTTTAGAGTTTAAAAAGGGCTAAAAATCATGTTTTGAGGTTTCAAAAGTGGAGGAGTTAGCCACCCGTCCTTGTTCTTACTTACTAGCTTTATTTTCTCTCTTTGTTGTTTAGCTTATTAGGCTCTTTTCATACACTTTGAGCCACTGTTTTTCATCCATTAAGGGCTGTTTTAGAGCTGTCCTAGGTTGTTTAGTTAGTTCATGCTTTGATTAGCTTGATTGTTGTCTCATAAGTCTGTATACATAGCTTGTTTAATATTGTTATAAGCTTTTCTTTAACTAATTTCCGTGTTTAGGAGCCTCATTTTAAGAATCAACTTGCTATTCATTTCTTTCATTTAAGAGTTGTTTCAATCGGTTGACAGTTATTCAAAACATAAACTAGAGATCTACGCTTAATGGCTTAATCTCTACGGAGGTTCATTGTCAACGGCGTAGTCTCTTTTTCATGTTGGGAATCACCTCCCGTTTGACATATTTCTCACTTAGTGGACATAATCATTAGTGGACGTAAAAATCATCTTGGACTTAATGGATTAAAGGATGACAAAGACTAGTGAAATGAACCAATCGACATGAAGAAAATGAGTTATATTGCTTGGGGTTTGGCCGAACGTTTTGCCGAGTCCATTGTGTCAAGGGTTGTCTTACATCAATTCATGATATTTTGATGAATCTTGAAACGTCTCTACCTCCCTCTTTGAGTTCACTCCATGATAGGAGAAGGGGTGGTTGTTGTTCCTTTCATTTATTGATCTTTGTCCAAATTATACCCGAAATCATCAAGCAATCAACTTGCTCATTGATGGTTTTGGAAACGATTCCAACCTTCTTTCGAGGCTTTCCCATGACAAAGAAATGTGAGAAGGACAAACAAAGTCTAGAATAACTCTGTCTGCATTGTTTTCACTTCAGAGCACAAAACAGAATTTTGCATGAAATTGATGCACAACTTGCCTTCTTTAGGCTTGGTCGGGCTTCATTGAGGGTTGGTCGGTCATCAATGTTTGGTCAGTAGTGTATTTTGCAGAAAATAGAGGGAAGTGGCTAAAGGTGAAACAGAGCAAGCCTAGGCAAACAAAGTTGTTCTTGGACACTATGCATGCAACCCTTGCGCATCCTTGCTTACATCATTATTATAAATTAATGCTCCGAGTATTGTTGTAATTAATTTATTTATTATTGTTACAATTAGTCTTGTTAATCATTAGTGTTGTAATTATTATTATTGTTTATTTGTAATTGTTATAGCTAATTAGCTTAGATAGTTAGTTTACTTCTCATTTTTATCCTTGTTGTAATAGAGTGGTTAGCTAGTTAATTCCTTGCTTATCCATTCATTCGGTTTTGTAATAATTAGTTTAATTTGGACTTTCGAACTTTGATTCGCACCCTCTTGCATGAGGGCAATTATGTAATAAGTTGTATGTCTTTCAACCCCACATCTTTCTTCATTTTACTTACTCGCTTACGATGGTTAGTATAGGAACATCTTTTTTCAAATTAACATTCTTATGCGTTCCATCCATTGTCTTGCATACATTCAAGGTTCGGCTCATCATACTAACCCGATATCAAATGTTCAAATTGATTACTTGAATATGTGCTTTATCACATATCTTCAATGGAATCATATGCCATGCTCATAGTCGAGCCTA